AAAATATTGTGATAAAACCGGTTTAAAGGTACGAACTTGTATATTTTCAGAAAAGGGGGGAAATATTGCATTTTACAGATTTTATTTTAAATAGCTGAGCATTTATTTTTGAAAAAATATTTATAGCCATAAATTTAAATGTGTACATGCTCATAAATATACATGTTTTTTCTCAAAACAAAAAATAGAAATGTTTACCGCGTATTGAAAAAGATTTACCATATATTTTTAAAATATTCAACATATTTCCTAACCTACTGATTGCGTATTATAAAAATGTTCGTTGTTTATTTTTTTTAAAAATTGCTTATTAAAAGAAATCATTTTGTAGTTAGAAACTGTGCGTTGCCTATTTATAAATGTATATTGCTTATTTAGAAATGTTCCCTAAATATATTAAAAGCAATCATCATATTTTCAAAAATGTTTGTCATGTATTTAAAATGTGTTCATCTCATATATGAAAAAGCAGTCATGGTGTATTTAAATCGATGTCATCACGTCGTGTATTTAAAAAAACTCCCACCAAATATTATGTATTCGAAAATTTCATTTACTTTCAGAAACCTTTATACATAAAAAAAATTGTGCATACACCTGTAAACATCTATTCATATACAATTAATGGGAAAATGTTTAAATTATATGTAGCCACCATCCCTCTCAAATAAGGCTTTTGCCGCACTTTGTAAATAAAGCCCAAATGGTCAATCTGATACAAGGTGGAGAGTGAAAACGACAATTGAAAGAGTAACGAGAATGCCAGCAACTCAGCAGCGAGTGAGAAAATAGGAGTAACCACACCTAACAATAGGCCACCAAAACCACCGATGAGGAACGAAACCATGCCTCCTTTGCAAACCGCCAGGCTCCTTTACACCTCACAGATCAAGCTATTGCAGGAGAGTGCCGCCTACCCTCTTGTTACAGGAGACGCGGAGTGCCAATGATGCTAATAGATAGCTAGGATTCAGAGTGGTGACAACGGGGACAAATGGAAAAGATAGGAGACCAAAAGCGCCATCCCACACTAGAGTCGAAGAAGGTTCTAGCTAGGGTCAGAGCATGTCTGAATATGCCGAAAGGCCGAGTTTGAAAGGTTCCTGACCTCGGCGACGATGCCCCAAGAGGCTGACAACACAACAAACTTTTTCCATTGAGTCCAAAAATATGTACTAGGCCTTTCACCCGAAGCCCTAACACATAGAGGGGCCCCCACAAAGACACCCCCAAGAGGGAGGCAACATCCACAAGCATCACCGTCGCTAGCGCCGCGTGAAGCTTTCGCTCGAAACCTGACATGTGTCACCTTAGGTATGAGGGTCAAGGATCCAACCCGAGGGGAGCAACACTGCAGCCAACACAATCCCCCCTCTCCCCAGATTAAGACTAAGGAGCCAAGATCATCCGCTGCCCTCCCCTTGTTAACCACATAGCCAAGACAAGAGCAACCACCACAACAACTTTGCTGCTCGTAGAGCCAACCATACAACATCACCTTCCAGGGGCACCACTCTTGACATCCATACCCCGCACCCTCGCCTCGCAACCATATGACTTGATCAGCACCTCCTTTCCCATCCCTTACACCTCAACAACCCTATCCTAGACACATTGGAGAGGTTCACATCCCCATGACAACACCCTAACACACGAGAGGCGATTCTGGAGGGGACCAAGTATCATGGACACCGCAGCCCACCTAGCCACAACTCCCAATGCCCCGGGACCAACAAGCCACTGATGGTGAGGGTAAGGGGCGTTGCAGCCACCTCTCGTGGCTCCCAAACAGAGCCACCTAGCTGGGAAGGCACGTTGTCACACCCCAAGCTAGGCGGTGCCGTCGGGTCAAGGAGGGACACAACAGCCCCACTAGCCATGGATCCGATATGAGGAGGCTACCCTGTCACCTGAGGAAGGGCAGAGGCCGGTAGGGTGCTGGTGCGCGAGGAACACGAGATGTGCGGGTGGTGAGAGGATGCAATGAGAGGAGATCAACTACCCAAAGACTATCAGGTAGCATGCAAAGGACCAATATGTGGTATCCCTTGGGTAGCACTATTTTTTGGACAAATGAAAAATGTCTAGGGAAATGTCGTATCCGCACACGGACAATAGGCGGATATCCTTTGGAGAAGGTATCTCTTTCAAAGGTTAGCCCTAAACTCCTCCGATGACAACAAGTGGAGCACATGTCGCCACATGAGAGTTTTGGTGGATTTATCCACTAGATCAGGAGGTTGCACACATTTTTTTTAATGAAAACAAGTTCCTAAATCTGATAATCTCTTGAACCAAGTGACAAAATTAAGTTTTCACAATTGCATTACTCACGTTGAGATCTTCAAGATAAGGTCACATGTTGATGGATTTGAACTTTGTTTAGACGTAACTCGTACTCCCAAGATATGAAAATCATATGCCTCCCGTGGAAACATACTTGTGCTTCCTGTCGCAATGTACGTTTGCTTCATCATGCAGCAAACCATCATGGGACACGCACATCACATCTTGCATGTGACACACAACTCACCTTCTTGAACACATTGTGTATCACACCTTCATGCGTGTGATGTGTCGCACAACACGCCTTCACTAGTGCGCTGCGTATTTTGCATGACACGCAACACACCTTCGCGCGGGCAGCAGAAATTGGACTACATGAGAAAAATGAAAAGGAAAAGGAAGAAACAGAAGGAGAAAAGATAACTAGAGAAAAGTAGAGGGGAAACATTTCCTGCTTTTCCGCGCCTTCCACGCATCGCTCATGAGTTAGGAGGGAATCCGTTAATTGGTTGCTCCTAAATTAGAAGTCACAAGTTACGGGTACCTTTTGCAATGGTTACCCAAAACTCATTTGGTAGCAACACAGATGAATTTTTACATGGCGGAGCTGCCCATGCTTCATCCACACGTCGACTAGTAATGTGCGCCCGCTCCAAAAAAGTGCCCCTTTTGGTAAAAGAGGGCGCACCTATTTTTTGCTTTGAGTATTTTGCAATAAAGGACGGCTATGAGATCCTCTTATGGGAGGACAAGTGCCTGGAAAATGCCACTCTTCGAGAAGAGTATTCAGGGTCATTCGGCCTTATACTGCATTCTACGCGATGAAGATGCTCATGCGCATGTTCTCAACTCCTCCCTAGCAAATGTACCATTTAGGCAGGACTTGGTTGGCCTCCATCTACTGTCATGGCAACATCTTCTATGCCGGTTGGATGAGATTCACTTGACAAAAGGACATGAAGTATTTCACTAGAATCTAACTACAAGTGCATCCTTCACAGTCCATTCTATGTACCATGCATTTTTGCACTCAAATATTCAAGTGGACTATAATAATCAAATATGGAAATCAATGATCTCTACTACTAAAGGTGAGTTGGTCGTTGTACAGTTGCCTCCACCTCTGCCCATCCCCCATTTGTTTTTCTCTCATGTACATCACCCCTCCCACGTCCTACATTAACTCAATCAAATCAAATCGAAACCTCAGATAAATCAAAACTTTCCATGCGTTCCTCTACCCATGGGTAAATCAAATCTTGCAAAACCTCAACTGAACCAAACTTTTCTTGTGTTCCCTCACCCATACCCAAATCAAATTAAATCTTACCAGAATCTCAACTAAATCAAAAAAAAATGTTGTGTTTCCTTACCCCTACTCAAATCAAATTAAATCTTATCAAAATCTGGAATATGATGGGTGCAAGGTATATGTTAGATACAATTGATGTTGAACCACTATAATATGTATGACGTCGTTACAATGTACTGACAATTAGCTAGTACCACTAGAAGTTAAGATTTTCATGCGGTATCATCATAGAGATGTTGTTCTGACAAAGGACAACCACGCTTGCCACAACTGGCAAGGAAGTACGAAGTGTAGTTTTTGCACACTCGATGAGACAATCGAACAGCTCTCCTTTCAATGCCAGTTTGCGATTTCTATAAGGTTAGTCTTCCAAAATCCAATAGTGTCCAATTTGTATCAACCCACAAGTGTTGCCAATATATAAGTCACTGGCTCGATGAAATACCAAAAAAGTATTGTACACTTATAAGATGGAAAAATCTGCCTTACTATGATAGTTTTGGTTATTTTTTATGGCAAAACTTCTTCTCCCATGTTTATTATATACCATTATATGTATTGGCTTCGTATGTGGTCTATGCTTTAGTGTATGGAGTATCAACCGTTGTTTACAGTGGTGTGTATGCGGTTGAAACCGGTGGTAGACATAGGTGCAGGCGTACTTTTTGGATTGGTCCTTCACCATCCTCGATATTGGCATAGTTTCAGCCTCATATGACTTTATTGTAGCCACTATGTCCTTTCTATACTGTGTCAGACTGTCTATGTTGGCTGTGTGTAGAGGCCAGGTGTCAATCATTATGCTATGTGTCCGCTTGATGGCATATTTCAAGTTAATAAAAGTGCCATTTATCAAAAATAATAATTCAAAATCACTAGTTAGGGATACTCCTTGTAAAGGTTATTCCAAACTTTTTTGGTGGCCACAATTGATGTACCATGGATGAATTTCTCCATGGCGGCTCTGCAATTCCTACAAGATCTATTGCACATATATATTACAGGAGTAGGATTTGGGGCCCAAAATTTTTGGGTAACTGTGCAGTCGAACACCTCACACATGCATGTTGATGTCCTTGGGTGTGTATGGATTGAATTTCCAAGCACAAGGGTGCCAATCATACCGATACTTACTATATATAAAAAAGGCATCTATGTAAATAGAATTAGTAGGCAACTAAAGATAATTCTGAATTACTAACAACCAATAGGGGTGGCCCACTTCGAAGCATAATATCGATGCATGTCTTACTTTCAAATTTTAAACTTCACACTAGATATGTAACTTTTTTTTGAGAGACACTACATTTAAACTTGACATGTTTACATTTGCACTCAAGCAACATGTATAAATATCTCATCAATATATTTGTACCATATTGTCAACCAAACATAGGAATCATCAACGTGCAACCGGACCTGTGGACATTGCAAGCACCTTCTTAACATTATGTTCCGGTTGAAATGCAATGTTGTTCTTGTCCATATCAATAGACCGATCATCGAAGTAAGGATCATATCTCAAGTTCGGGTTGTCACTGCCACCGCTAGTGTACGTGCCGTCATTTGTGTCCTCAACGGTGCTGCCCTCCTCAAGCTCGATGCACTCTTGCAGCTGCACCACCACATTGGTCATGGTGGGTCGATGTGTCGATGCATACTCAGTGCACTTTAGGGCAATTTCCACCACCTTCCAAACGCTGTTGACATCATAAATTCCACACATACTTGCATCAACCACACTTTCAATGTTGCCTTGCGCCATTCGTTGCCGTGCCCACTGGATGATGCTGATGGACACAACTTCCCGTAGTATGGCTGGCTTCCCTGTAACTACCTCCAAAAGAACGACACCAAAGCTGTAGACATCACTCTTGGCCGTTGCCTGCATCGTCGCCTGGTACTCAGGATCGACATACCCGGGTGTGCCAACAAGTGTGGTAGTTGACACATGGTTATTGTCGCCTTCGAAGGCCTTGGACAAGCCAAAATCAGCAATCCTAACCTCCATCTTTGCATTTAAGAGGATGTTGGTGGTCTTCACATCCCTGTGAACCAGAGGCGGGTTGCACCCCTTATGCAGATACTCTAGCCCTGCAAATTCCCGTACCAGCCAGTGCTCATGTTTCTAGAAACATAAAACATTCAATAACAACATACTCTACACTGAAGGGTGTACCTTGCGCAGATTCAAGTGCGATTCGGAGTCTTTGTCTCCAGGACAAACATCGTCCTTGAAGTTTGCTTCCTACAAATAGTTTGACCTTTTGTCAATTTGAAATGCTTAAAAGACACTTGAAAATGAAGTTATACCGCTATACAATTACATACCTTCAATATGGTCATGCAAGGTTCCTTCTGACATGTACTCATAGACAAGTGCCAAATACTCCCCATCCTTGCAGTAACCAATCATGGTGACAAGATTTTTGTGATGAATCCGTGTCAAAATGCGAGCCTGGAAAAATGTTCATAACTTATCAAATTTCACTCCGAAACTCCTTCACACAATATTCACAATGTAGTCATGAACCATGAATTGCAGTCAAACAATTTGTTTACCTCTGCGAGAAACTCCTTATCACCTTGATCAGAGGAATGAGATCGCAGCTTCACCGCGACCTGAGTGCCGTCCTCCAGAAAACCGTCATAGACGTACCCAAATCCTCCCCGTCCGAGTACTCGCTCGAAGTTTTTTGTTATCATCTTGAGCTCCTCGTAAGTGAATTGGCGGCTCTCAAGTCGCAGCGAACCGTCCGCATACAAATCATCTCCCGACGCGTAGCTGGTCATCATCTCATTGCGTGGCCTCACAGAGTTGTTTATTGATCCTTCATAGGTGACAAATAGCACAACCAGAATTAGTAGTGCTCATTGACTAGGAAAAGGGCCAGACAGTTGTTGTGCTCTTGTCGATGCCTCACCTTGGCATTTTCGTCTTATAAAGCAAAAGAGTACTGCCACCACCATGACCACTATCAGAACTGCAGGGATGGCAATGTAAATTGCTAACTTGCTCTTCTCTTTAGTTGGCAGCTGACATGAATTCCCATTGGTGCAAATGTCTGGATTGTTGCCATATCTAACAGAAAATGAAACGAAGATGATTCATTTAATTTATGAACTATCATGATACATAGGATGGGAATTGAAATGGAAAACAAATACCTTAGATCGAGTGAGCCATCTTGGACCCTTACGAGGAGTCCAGAGGGGATTGATCCATTCAGCTGGTTGCGTGACAAATCTCTGTAGAAAAAAATATACTAGAACTATTCACATGACTCGAAGTAATTCATGGGAATGTTTATACTACAAAAATTGCCTGACTTACAAAACTGTCAGTGAAGTTAATTGCGAAAGAACATTTGGAATTGAGCCTACCAAGTTATTGTTTGATAGATTCCTGCAAGATATGAAACATGTTTTTATCATTGTTTTTGCATAAAACTTCAACGGATGTTAAAATATATTCATAATTCAACACATACAAGTATTGGAGGGCTTTGAGGTTGGCAAAAGATGATGATATATCACCATTCAGACCTCTGGAGGACAGGTCTCTGCATAGAGCAAACATCCAGTGGATTAGTTTCACTCCATAGTAAGAATGTCACCCTCTTGGCCATTTGACATTTCCAATTTTTTCACTGAATAAGATCCGTGCAGATATGAATTACTCACACTCTTATGATCCCTGGGGGCCTTGCAATGGCGTAGCTGCATGTCAAGCTGTCCCACACCATGACAGTCCCTGGACCGCACGGGTCGCCCATCCAGTTTTTACGCACCTGATACTTCGCCTTGATCGCCATGATGGCAGACACTGCAGTCAGTAGCACTCAATTTTTCAATGGACTTTTGGAAATTAGATACTACTTTATGCATTAAGTGGCACTCAGCTTTAGTAAGATGTTTGCGCAGTTTTAGTTAGTAGCCTGTAGTTTGACAAACTTGAGAATTGAGATGGGGCTCGTTGAATGCTGATCTCAAGGTTTAGAAATATGACTGCAGTTTAGAAAAACTCAAAGCTACTAAAGTGTGTGCTTGTCCAACTACGTATTTTATGTGTCTATAATGTACATACAGCACAAAGTGTGGTTTTGTGTAGCTGGAGCTACACGGTACCCCTTATCTTAGCCATCCATTTTGGCATCAAGATCCGTGCATGCACATTTGTCATTTTTGTTTCTCTCAAACGAAACAACATATAAACTTCACACTTTGCAGGACAACAAAACATTCTAATTACTACGTGGGAAAAAACTTTCAGATTTTTTCATGCATTTAAAATGCTAAAATTTATTTTTTTAATCAAAAAATTCACATTTTGTATATTTATGTTGGTCCAAAAAATCTGAAAGTTTTTTCACACATTGAAGTTGTAAAGTTTGTTTGATCTAGAAAGTTTGAAGTCCATATGTTCTTTCATTTGAGAGAAACAAAAAAGAGAAATCTGCTTGTTGCAAGTTAGTTGAAGAGTACGGATCTCAAAGCAATGTTGAAGGGCTGAAGATAAGAGGTTCCATGTAGGACGAGCTACAAAGGAACTTTGTGTACAGCACACAACATACCGTCCTGGGAGTTTGTGCTGAGGTTGGTGGTGGGTATGACTGAGAACAACTCGAGAGCATTGATAATTGGCGGCAGCGTCGAGTTGGTGGTGGCGTTGAGGGAGACGATGTAGTAGCTCTTCCGGATGGCGAAGGTATTGTAGCTGGCCTGTCCGTACAGGTATGGTGGCCTCATGACATCTCGGTTCAACAACTTGCCATTGAGGTTGATGTAGAATTCGCGCACAGCGTTGCTTGGGAGGAGCTGCAACTCCGAGAAGTGCATGATGATGATGTACCCTGGGGATGGGTCGTTGGGTTGGGGCTGGGGCTCCCAGTCGAATTCTATGTTGTGTGAGGCGTTCCGCGGCCTAATGGCCGTCTGCATCACGGCCATCGGCGCCTCGAAGGGGCTGTCGGCTTCGTACTTGACCCTCCTCGTCGTTGATATCTCGGTCCACGATGAAGAGTTAACCCAAGGGAACCACATTCTATCGTGTGGATCATCAGGATACCTGATCGATATTTGTGGTTAGTAATGAACCAATTAAGGTTATTGTCATGTTAAAAACAGGGGTAAGCTTGTGATCTTTGATATACTGTCACACAAAAAAAATTATGATCTTTAGCACACCTGATACCGGTGTTTTCGTCGCCGCCAAAGTTGAACCTGGTCAACAGCACGAGCCCTTGCGCCGCGGTCACCTGTGGGTACATTGTCTTTTTGAGCGGCCTGAGGTCCAGCCCGGAGATGAAGGGCGTCCCGGCACCGGTGTTGATCAGGCAGACCTGCACGTAGTCACCCGGCACCACGACAATGACCTCCACGAACTTCGCCGCGAATGGGCTGGAGATGTTCACAGTGCGCCAAAAGTTGACGCCGATGTGAAGGTCAAACATGGGCAGCCGATGGAGGCCATCGTAGTTGCCGTACATGAACCTGGCCCGGACGAGGTACTTGAGCCCGGGTACGATGGACCGGAGCGTGTAGCAGTTCCGCGTGCCAGCTGCGAAGCTGCGCAAGTTGTACCAGCTCTTGCCCATCAACGGAGTTACATACTCGGCCGAGATGTTGTGGCAGGTTCCGGCGTCGTCCGTGAAGCCGCCGTTGTCCGGGGCGATGGAGAGTTTGGTGGTGTTATCCGTGTAGCCCGTCTCCCCCTGCAGACCGCAGTCTATGCTTATGAATCCTGCAGTGCAGTGCACACCATGAGATGAATCGATCACCACGTAGTTAAAGATGACCCGATGGCACAATGATATGCTGTGGTGTATGAATTATCCATTGCCTTGTGATCTTTTGAGTTTTGAGGCAACATGAAACTTTGAGAATGCATGTATTATACCTTTACTGTCAGGCTGGGCACGAGCTTGCAGTACGCCTCCGGCGCCGAGGCTGAGGCAAAGAAGCAGCAGCCACGGCGTGGCCGCCATTGCTCGTGGCGTTAATTGCGCTAGTGCACACGCAAGAAGCAGCTAATGGAGCGTCGATCATAACATATGTTTGATATGGGCAGCTTCAACTCAATACCTTCTATTAAAAAAATTAGACAACTTGTGCAGGCTTAATCTAGATACTAAGCAAGAAAGTCAGATATGTCCGACTGTCACATCAACACCGACTTGATTAACCAAGTCGTCACACACACACAGACCGCCTTGCTTACTAAAACCCTTTTTCAGTTAACGTCCGGGGACACACCAGGAATCGGCGAGTCGCTCTACCGAGGAGGCCACGACTCGATCTGTTCAGAAGAAAAAATAATGTGGGTTGACATGGGTTTGCAGAGATTTTTACGCTCTTTGAGGCAAGACATGGGCTGGAGAGTTGACACTGCCTTCGAACCGGTCCACGGTGACTTTCTGTCGTGTGAGAGCGCACGAAGCCATGAACTGGTCGACTACAGCCAGTGGCCTCTCTTCTTTACTTTTCTCTTCTCTACTAGGTATGTGTCCGTGTGTTGCGATGGGAGTCGATTTTTTTTAGAGAAAGGCAGTTTCCCAACTTTATATAAACAAATCAACACGACAAGGTTTAGGATTCAGAAAAGATCAGGATCAAGTCAAAGAACCCTCATGTCCGGCAAAAGAAACAAAAAACCTAGTTGGTGTTCTCCTCGGGGATCCTCTGAGGAGACAGGGCGATGCAGAAGCACGGATCATGGCCACCATCATGATAACAACATCCACATTACCGGCCTTAGTGAGAGGGCTCCACTGCTGAACAAACGCAACCATTTTAAACAAAATGTCAGCAGGCCGGGTAGGAAATAAATACTCAAACATAAATTTGTTGCGACTAGTCTACAGAGCCCACCCAAGAGCACAGAGAGCAATCCAAAATATTCTAGCAAAGTGGAAGGAGAGGTTTCATAAGATATTAAGAAATTCATACATATTAGTCGAGTTCCACGACGATTGAACGCAGCTGCAGCCAAGTTTAGCTAGAACGCAATTGAATAGGATGTGCTCAGTGTTCTCGATCAGGCCACAAAAGGAGCAAAACGAATAAGCATGCAAATTACACTTAAGAATGTGTTCACTATCCAGGAGTTCACGCCTGATGGCCTGCCAGAGGAAGATTGTGATTTTAAGCGGGATCTGAGCTCGCCAGAAGCCCTTAAAACGAGGGGAGGGCCGCCCAAAGGGGAGCTTCAGGTACAGAGATTTCACAGAAAATATTTTAGTTAACGTCTTTTTTTTTGCGGGTTAGTTAACGTCCAGGGACACACCAGGAAGCGGTGAGTCGCTCTACCCACGAGGCCACGACTCGATCCGTTCAGAAGAAAAAGGAATGTGGGTTGACATGGCTTTGCAGAGATAGGGTGTACGACGTGAGTCTGGCCAGTGATCTGGTAATCTAATGTTTGACCCCCTTTCCCCTAGGGTTTCGCCTAGGGTCCATCTATCCTCCGGCGGCGCAACTGCCGGAGTCCACGTAAAATCTCTCCGGCCGCTGGGCTTCTCTGGCCGTCGGTGAGATCTACCACTTTCCGTCGTGTGTGTGTGCGTGCATGGTGGATCCGCTGTCTCAGATGCAAGGAGGGAGGGAGGGAGCGACGATGGGGGCAGTAGTGAGTGCGGCGGCGGCCCGGCCAAGTGGATCGGGGCTGGCGAGAGGAGGGGCTGAGGAAGACATTAGCGGGAAGGGGAGGCAAGATCGGAGCTCGCAAGATGTGAGGAACCAGGCAGAGGATTTTGAGGAGGAATATGGCGATTATTATGGCTCCGATCCAGACTTGGAAGATCAATTCGCGGGGATGAAGCTGCATGGCCGGGAGGAGGAAGAGCTTGACTTCTCAGAGGAAGTGGATGATCTCATTAAGGACGTGCGCTGGCTGGCTCTCTTTTGGGTACACACCACAAAACCATTTAGTCATGCCGCACTGATGACACAGATGCGCAATGCTTGGGCAGCGGCACAAGGGGTCACCTTCAACGTAAAGGGCCCTAATCTGTTCCTAGTTCAGTGCCACTGTTTAGGCGATTGGAGGAAGATCATGGACGGGGGGCCGTGGCTATTCAGGAGGGCTCCGGTGGTGCTGCAAGAATACGGTGGTTTCTCAGCTGTCAAGAGCTACCGTCTAAACAAGATACCGGTCTGGGCTAGAGTGAAGGGGCTGCCAGATGGCCTAACAAGGAGGAGAGAGTTGGCTGAAAAACTTGCTGCCAAGGTGGGTGATCCACCTTTCAATGTGATTATGAATGAGGGAAGGATAAATCCAGCTTCTACCCTGCGAGTTAGGGTGTATGTGGATGTTAACATCCCCCTGGTCCACTTTGTGCCAATCACATTAAAGGAGTACAAGAGGTATAGTGTCTACTATGAGAAGCTCCCAGACTTTTGTTTTGCATGCGGAAGAATGGGCCACTTAGCGGATGAATGCGGTGACGGGGTGCATGATCCAAGGTCCTTCGAGTGGGGGGACTGGCTGCTTTGGGAGCCGGAGATTTCAGTTGCTCAAGGCGTAGGGGGGCGTGGGAGAGGTGATGGAGGAGGAAGAGGTAGAGGGAGGGATGCTGGTCGAGAGTACAAAGGAGGCAGAGGAGGAAGGGGTTCGGGAGGTGGAAGAGGAGGTGAGCATGCAGAGGAGGTTTTCGGGACAGATGCTCAGCGTACGGAGATGGATGGAGTGGATGATGATCATAGGGGAAAGTCTAGCGAGGACGGAGTTGAGAAGGGAGCCCGCAAACGACTTGTGGCAGCGGATGGTACTGTCAATGTTAGGGGCCAGCTGGTCCCAAATTTAGCAGGTAGAGTGGCTGGTACGGTTTTGCGAATTGAAGGGGCGACTATAGCAAGCACCAACGAACCGTCAACTACACCGGAGAAAGTTCGAGTAGTTAAAAGGAGGAAACAGGAGGAGGGGATGGATGTGGATGGTATTGGTTTTGCATCTAAGGCGGCCTCCGGTGAGGAGGACCGACGGGCCCAATGAGGACTATGTGCTGGAACTGTCGAGGAATTGGCGACCCTGTGACAGTGCGTGAGCTCCACGATCTCGTGGAGGCTTGTGCGCCGACGGTGCTTTGCATAGTGGAGACACAAATTGCGAAGTACATGGTGGAAGGTCTGGCGGGTAGTTTAGGTTTTTCTAGTAGCTTTGGAGTAGCGAGTAGTGGTCGAAGTGGAGGTCTATGCTTGTACTGGAAGAATAATATAAATCTTGAAATAAAAACTTTTTCTCAGTGTCACATTGATTCAATGGTTACGGAGACAGGGAAGGACCCGTGGCGCCTCTCTTGTTTCTATGGTGCGGCAAACCGAAGTATGAGATACAAAACCTGGAATACGATGAAGTTCTTAAGAGGAGAAAGTACTTTGCCATGGGTGTGCCTAGGCGACTTCAATGAGATCTTGAGGCCTGAGGAACAATTTGGCCCAAATGAGAGGGATAGTGCACAGATTGCAAGGTTGAGAGAGGCTGTAAATGTTTGTGAGTTGGCAGATCTTGGCTATAAAGGACTAGACTGGACTTTTGAGAAAAGAATTGTTGGGGGAGATTATTGCATGGTTCGTCTCGATCGGGCCCTTGCGACCCCGAGCTGGTCTTCTATGTTTCCTTTTGCCTCTCTTGAGCACTTAACAACAGTAAAATCAGACCATTTCCCTATCCTGTTGCTTAATGAATTGGAGTCAAATAACTTAAGGCAGGCTTTGAGGAAGCCTTTTAGATATGAATGCATGTGGGAGCAGGAAGAATCTTTCTCTGCAAGCGTACAGGAAGCTTGGCGGGTGGATCAGCCAGCAACTAACGTACATGAGCTTGCGGATAAACTTACGAACGTGGCTGCATCTCTTAAGAATTGGGGACGGACTACTTTTGGTTCGGTCCGAGGTGAGCTTCGCGAACTTCGACGGAGACTAGCTAAGTTCAGGGCTGCACCTGATCGGGTTGGACCGGCGGCAGAAGAGAAAAAGGTCCAGGACCGGATTGTGGAGTTATGTTACAGGGAAGAGATCATGATGCGGCAACGGTCTAGGATCCGCTGGCTTTCAGAAGGAGATAGTAATACCCAGTATTTCCAGAAAAAGGCGAGCGCGACAAGAGCAAAAAATACAATCTCTAGCCTGACTAGAGGGAATGGTTCGGACACATCGGATCCTGATGAGATGGCTGGCATGGCCACCAGCTTCTATGAGCAATTATACACCTCCGAGGGAACCATTGGCATTGAGGAGGTGCTCTCACATATACCATCTCGAGTGGACGGGGCCATGAATGCCCGTCTGAATGCTGTTTTTACGAAAGAAGAAGTTAAAGAGGCTTTGTTTCAAATGTTTCCCACAAAAGCTCCGGGACCGGATGGATTCCCAGCACACTTTTTCCAGTGGCATTGGGAGCTATGTGGTGATGAGATTACAGGCATGATCATTCGGGTGCTTAATGGAGAGGACTCACCGGAGGATATAAACCGCACGTTCATCGTTCTTATTCCCAAGATAGCAAGTCCAAAACTTTTAGGACAATTTCGACCTATAAATCTTTGCAACGTGGTTTACAAAATCGCATCAGAAGTCTTAGCCAACAGGTTGAAGGTTATTCTCCCCGAGGTAATCTTCGAAGAGCAGTCGGCCTTAGTTCCTGGTCGCCTTATCACGGATAATTTTATAGCAGCCTATGAATGTTTGCACTACATGAAGTCTAGAAGGATAAAGGGTAACCGTTTTTGTGCGCTAAAGCTCGACATGATGAAGGCTTATGATCATTTAGAGTGGTCGTATTTAAAGGCGGTAATGCTCAAGTTGGGAATCAGCCCACGTTTTGTGGATACTGTTATGAGGTGTGTCTCATCTGTTTCTTTTTCGGTTCTGTTTAATGGAGGTATAATGGATGAATTCAGGCCATCGAGGGGACTTCGCCAAGGGGACCCTATCTCTCCATATCTGTTTCTCATTGCTGCAGAAGGACTATCTTGCTTGTTAAAGGCAG